GACTAAGTTATGGATGATCACCAAACTTTGTATCGTTCGTAGGTAGTTTTTTTATCAAGTTTGCTCATATTAATTTGATTGCTCAAGCTTAAATGACCCAGGTCATGACATTTCTTCAAATTATAGTTTAAAGATATTCTATGCTCAAATTTTATATTTGAAAATATTGATAATGGATACAAGTATCTTTATTAGTATAAAATAAACGTGTTTTGACTTAAAGTAGATATGTTTTAAACTATTCACACTTTAAGTGGTCACAGTATAAATATAATGATAGTGTCATTAACAAACTGTTCTTTTTATAAAAAAAGACTAACTTTACATGGCCTATACTAGGATATGCAGCTTCCCATACATAGTTTATTCAGTCTTTTATCCAAATTAGACATATTCAGTAAGAATTTCAATAAATTTCTATGACTCAAAGATGGACATAGGATATCTTATCGTAATGAAAGGGAAACATCTCATGTTGGAATGTGTACATGCATGCATGTTATGGAATTTTTCCAAAAGAGATCCAATGGCTTTGAGAAAGTCTTAATGTCATGATCTGTTTATGATGTGTAAATAGCTTTTAGCTCTAGAATTCGGACATCATATTGCATCATTGTAAGATCAAAAAATAGGCCTAAAGAAATATTACAATTGTTTAACAAAGATGAGTTTGTATGCTCAATTTATTTATTGAATTTTGTTAAAAATTGTATTTTTTTTCATTTTTTCTTTTTGTTTAATTAGATTTGAATTTAATTGGAGAAACACACATTTCAATAAACTTTGGGACATACTGTTGAACCTGATGTTCATGTGCATAATTGAATTTGAAATAATAGAAGTTGAAACAATAATTCAAAATTTATTAAGATTTAAGTTATTATATTAATGAGAAGTATAGTTGGATATTCCGCCTATTAATAAACCGGATATCATTGCACAAACACAGATCTGAGTAGCAAATAAAGAAAATTTGCCTTTCGCATATTTGTACATTTTAAACATTTTTTTTCGGAACGAATTGACTAACGATACTAATTTACATTGAAAAGCATGTCCTTCTTACGATCAAATATATTATGTCAGCTTTTTTCCCCCGATACAATGTTATTTTGAATTGTTTTCATCAATACAATACCCTTTTAAATAAAACAAAGCACAAAGATACCGTCATATTAGACGTGAGAAATAAATGTATTCGAAAAGGTTGTATGAAAAAAGAAATGTACATGTTTATAGATCATGCGTAATAGATTGATTATTTCATTTAAATCCTGGGCTAAAGGTTGCTTATAAATGACATTTTCATCCTAATAATTTAAAATGATTTTAAAGTTTTGCGTTAGAAACATAATAAGAAGACAAAGGCCTAAATAAAATGCTTGTGTATGGACTTTTGAAATGATAAGAATTATCTCATGACACTATTTAAACACGGTTTTAAACATTTTTCTTTCAGATACACCTGCCACCTGGTAATATCTGGAGAAAGTATTTTTACGTCACGAAATATACACCGTCAAACTGGAGATACGTAACATTCTGATGAACCCTATTCTATATAGGATTTATATATTTGATTGAGTTTGAATGACGAGTTCCTGTGGATACGGATTTTTGGTTTTAATAATTATTATTAAACTTTCCTAAATATAAATTAGTGCAAATGACTCCTTCATTTTCTGAAATAATATTTGAGTTTTAACACGACCAATTGATTTTAATCTTTAAAAATATATGATTGTAACAGTCGTTGCTCATAAAAACTATTGTTAAGATAAAGAGAAAAGAAAATAATTTAAAGTAGATAAAGTTTGTTTTAGATTTCAACAACACGCAATTCATAAAAGTTAAGGCTTGAAAATATCGAAAATGTACATGACTGTATAATTCGACCCTTGAAGGAAATATCGAAGTACGGGTGTTCTGCTCTAGTATCAGGCTTAGATAATTCTTATTTTGATCAAATGGTGTCTAATATTTATCCTACTGCGCTACAACTTAATAAAACAAATTTTTGAAATTTAACTACATCAGTTTTGGATCTTTATATCACTATCAAGAACAATTATATTCACACGAAAATCTATGACAAAAGCAATGACTTGGATTATGGTATAGTAAATTATCCTTATTTGGATAGAGGCGTACCGCATGAAACATCTTACAGGGTTTATATATATCAGGTAATTAGATTCGCTAGAGCTTGTAGCAACGTAAAGGATTTTGACGAGCGAAATATTTTCACTAACGGTAAGGTACTCAAACAGGGCTACCGCTTTTATAAATAACGTAAGTACTTTACAAAATTTTACAATCGTAACTTTGATTTAATTTCAAAATTCAATAGTGATCTAAAATGTCTTCTGCGACAAGGGATTAGCCAGCCTGATTTGTACGGGATGTTGTTTACAATTTTTGTAAGATTTTGGGTCATTGTAATTTTTCTGTTGTCTTTATTAAAATTATTAATCGTTTTATTAAAAGGGGTTATGGCCCTATTATTGTACGATATACCACATGCTTAGTGTTTAACCCATTTACAGTTGGACCATACGCTTTCTTCTATTGATAAACATCTGACGGACCAAGTGGGAGACTCTAGGATGGACAGTTCTTAAACCCCTTAAAACCCCCTAAAAAAGACTGAATTGCCTTTATGTTCGTCTTCTGTCTTGCTTCGTCGGGCCCTTGTAGGTGATCTTCTTGTTGCTATGTCTTCCTTTAAGACATTGAGTACTCTTGTTGTGGTCATTGGGTTTTCTTTTGTATGTTTATACATGAGCATTTCGATGTTTTACTTATTTGACCTTTTGTAACCATGACAACTGTTAGAATTTCACTTGGCGGGGATTCATTATATTTACACTGTCTCGTTTATAGGAACATGGTGGGGCTTAGAGTGAGGTTTGGTGCATCATTAACCGGTTTAAAGTCCCCAGTAGTATTTATGCTGCTGACTGTTCCAAGGCGGCGCACCTCTGATTCCTCAGATGTATGTCTGTGTGTTTTATACTGTTTTGGTGACACTTTTGTGTCTCTTGTTGTTTTCTCGTCTACGGTAAGTATCTTCCCCTTTGTCCCTAGTTTTTATCTATTTTATTTACCCCCCTTTCCCGGGTCTCATGTCCCCTTCTCCTGTGCCTATTGACTTTGTGGGCCTAATATTTAATCTTTTATTTGTTTTTTTTCTTTTATTCCTTGTCAGTTGCTATGCATTTATTCTTATGTAATGGTTTGCCTGCCCGTGCTCTGTCTTGTGCCCTGTCCTGTTTTTGTTTAGGGTCCTGAGCTCCTTGCCACTGGCTCTTGTTATTGGGTTGGGTGGGGGTTACCTTCATTGAACGCCGCCTTTCCTTGTTGATCTTGTTTATTATATTTATCTCAAAGAGCACATGAGTCATTGACTGTTGTAGCGTAGTCATGTTTATTTTGTTTTATATATGTAAATATATTTTATATCTGTTTATGAATTAATAAATATGTAAGAGTGACTCGATTTGGTTTTTATTTTATTTTTCAAAATACTCCAGGTGAGAAGATAAAGTTCTAAAAAGCATGTGAATATACAGTTCTCTAATCAAACATGTACTGATGAACAAGCCTGTATTTCGGTCATGTATGCGTATCAACTATATGATCATGCATACTTTTGATACTATCCGTACCCTCTTTTATCTCGAAATTACAGCTCTGTATACCTTGCATACAACTAACAAATACAATTCCGTATATATCAAATGTACGATTCCGCATATCCTTTGTATATGTAGAAAATACGATTCCGTATATCTTCTGTATATGTAGAAAATACGATTCCGTATATATTCTGTATATGTAGAAAATACGATTCCGTATATCATATGTACATGAAGAAAATACGATTCCGAATATCCTCTGTATATGTATAAAATACGGTTCCGTATGTCGTCTGTATATGTAGAAAATACGTTTCCGTATATCATAGGTAAATTAATAGTATACTAGAGAAAATAACCTTGATAAAGTTCGTATACGGGATTTTATTTTCCGTATACTAAAAAGTACGGACAAATATACGTACATGTATATGGGGCAAATATGGAATTCCGTATATGCCTGATCCACAAACGGACTGCCCATATACCCGGTGTTCCCTATACGGACTCGTATACTTGGTCCTCATATTCGACAAATACGTCCCGTACACGCCTGTATATGTTTAAATACCGAAACGTATATTCCCGTATAACAGTATATTTTTCTCAGTGTTTTTACATTATAATACGACGGTTATGAAAATGAAAGTGTGAAACTTAGAAGTAATTAGCAATTATCGATCATTCTTGGGTTTTACACAAACTAAGATTCACCTCTACCGTAAAAGAATGTCGTAAAATGTCGTAAAACTAGACCAACTTTTGTTTACATCACGTCTCAAAAGGATTTCAAAAATATACTTGCAAATCAAAATCAAGGTGGGAAAGTGTCTGCAGTCGTATTTAAGGGTTAATAAATGTGCATGGTGTACAAGACGGGAGGAATTAACTGGACATATTACGGAATAACGGAGTGGTCTGGATATCGGAGTTGGTGACCATTATATTAAAAAAAAAAAAAAAAAAAAAAAACGTTGGGTCTGAAAAAAATCGTTCTTATTAGCGGGTTGGTCTCAAAAACGGGTTGGTCGCAAAATGGGATTATATTGCTTGTAAAATTAATGCGTTTGAATACATGATATACCGAGACACCTAATTTTGATATTTGTATTTTGTATAAATTTTTCGGAATCTTATATTTTCACGGTCAAAATATTCATTAAATAAATTCAAATGAACTTATCTTTACTTTTTGAATTGTAAACATAATAAATGGAAAAGAAATCATACAAATTATTAAACAAATTATTCCGACGATTTTCCGAGCTATTGGTATGTCAATTGATAAGTAGTTAATGAAAATAATTGTATTGCAACATTTGAGAACGGTATACTTTTTCAAAACATATTTGACATACTTACCGACATTGCATTATGACTCCAGTAGGTATTAAGAATTTCTTAGATGTGTGAAAAGTGTCCGTCTTACATTTTTTCTAAAAACAAAAACAGAACTGTTGATTGTTTTAGGTAGTATATTAAATTGATTTGGAAAACATTATATTATAAAATATTATATATATATATATATATATATATATATATAAAACACTATATGTAAAACATATATATTATAAAACATTGCATGAATAAATATGTCTAGGGTGCATACGGGTTTTTTTAAATTGATATTTATTATATTTAAAAAAACCCGTATGCACCATAGACAAAAAAGTTACCTGTAAGTATTTCTATGATCCGTCTTGTCATTGTATTTCCTGAACCCGGAAAACTAGCAAGAGCTATAAGTGGTTTCCTTATCTTAGAGAGGGTTGCATGTGGATCGCACTTTAACCCACCAACTATGTCAAAAATTATCTCATTAAAAGTTGTATTTACCTTTCGTTTACAGACGATAAACAACTTTAATGATTGTAAAAAATTATGTGTCACTTGTAGATCTAAATTACTCTGAATAAATTCAGAGCAGTTCTCTGTTTCTTTTTGTATCTTTTTATTTACATATAAATTATTTTCTATTGCTGTTTTTTCTGTGTTGTTTTTTCCTGTATCTATTTTTCCTGGTTCAGTAATTTTCATTAACTGCCGAAATGGAAACTTGATGTAAACATACACGGAAACCATTAGAAGAACGAAGAAAACAACGTTTCTTCTTCGCTCCAATCCAAGACAATATTGGTGCGTACTCATAGTCCTTTTGATATTAATGAATGTCTTTTAATCCATATAAGTATTATCCTTTTAATTTTAGCAAATTAGACTGTCAATGAAAAAAACGTCCAATTAGTTGTACAGAGGACGTTTATAAGACAGCTCGTAAGAACTATATCTTGTGTAGTTAGTATTCCTTATAAGGCAGGATATGAGTATCCGTGCATATCATGTTATATACAACAAATGCATAAATTGTAAAATATCCATGAGAACTACTCAAAAATCTTAAACTTTCAATAGTTTCGAATAAATCCATCAAAGATATAAGCCTATATTGAAATAAAAGGTATAAAAATTCCATAACACGAAACAATATCCTAGCTTTTTCGACTTTTCTTAAGGCATGCACTTATACTGGATAAAATGGAGAGTAATAACAATGATAGCATGCTTAGTTTCTTTATTTGAAATTAAGAATTAGGATAATGTATTCAAATTTAACTTATCAGCCTTGCATCATTAAACAATATTTTATAACACACCGGTTAAACAAAAACTCCGTCATAGGTAGCAACTTTTTTGTATGTCTTTGATTTATCAAAATGCGTTTGACCTGTATTTACTAATTGTTGAATAAATTCGGCTTGAAGTGGGATTCTTTTGAGCATGACGTGTTTATTAAATTAAACATTTTGTGTTGTGATATATTACAGCTATTGTAACAAAGAGATTTGGGTTTGAACCTACCTGCTGGACCTTGTTTTATCTAGAATAGAACATTTGCAGTGATTGACAATATTTTTGCATAAGTGCTGAAACAAGACGATACCTTTTATTAACCACTTTTGTTCACTTGATCAACATGTGGTAAGACTCATAACACGGCTGTCATAATTTTATTCTGAAAAATGCTTTTTAGTAAACCAAATGCGATATGATATGTATCAGCGCACGTGCGAAATGACGATATGAGTTACGATTCTATTTGTATTCAAAAAGAAGTTGTGTCACAACGGACAACATAGCATATTGCATCCTGTATGGTGAAGATTTCATAATTGGATGGAATTGCTATCACATCTACTGATCTTTGAATAACAAACATGTTTCCGGATTTTTTTTACTATTAAGAATTTACGTTACGACAAGTACAAAAGCGACACAAGCTACGCCCGATGCAGAGATGTCCATGACACTATGTTACATTACGAAACGGCGTGATCAATCGTGTTTTCGAGATTACGTGTGATAAGGTCGTAAAAAGTGCAAGTGTTAATGTCTAATATGTATGTTTTTATACCTTATATGTTATTTTTATTTTTCAAATGTTTATCAAGTCGTGTAAAAGTGAAATACCAGCACCGTCCAAGAACAGGATTAATCAGACCGAGCCTTTAACATTTTCAACTTTGCCGTGTTTGGCTTAACGGTTCCATGAGTACCGCAGTATGAACGCATCTTTGAACGTTTCTTAATTCAAATTTCACCATTTTCGTGTTTTAATGTTGAATTCTGCTTAAGCCGGTGCTTTTGGGTGTGGACAGTTAATTGCATTTTCAAGTACCTACCAAGAACAGGCTCAATGCAACCGAGCTTGCCCCATTTTTCAACTTTGCCGTGTTAGGCTTTCTTTAGAGATTGAACTAAAGGTTCTTTTTTATCATCTTTATTGATTGTTTTTGTTTTCTATTTCGCTGTAGACGATATTTTAAAACCTGAGCGCTATTCCTACATATTAACTTAATGTTTTATGCTTATTTCTATATGTTTTTATTAACTTTAACATGTTATAATCCAATACACATTGACATCCAGTGTAGTTGTATTTGCTGTTAAAGTTCAAATAAAACATTTTATAACAATTATTTCCATTACTGTGCCCATTATGCCACAGAGATGTTCTCATTTCCTTTCTCAAAGGATTATTTTTACTTCTGATCGTACTCAAAACGTAACTCATTACACAAAATCGGAATAATTGTTTTCATATGTTGATGTTTGGGCAATCAGTACAATTATAGTCAACAAGTACTTAAATAGAAGTCAAAGTACTACTGCGTTTACATTTTGCAACATTTATTATAATATATTATAATATATATTTTATATCTATCGTTACTTCCATCAAGTTACACGCCACAAATACTCTCTTAATTCGTTAGACACTATATATTCAGTGCTCCCTTTTTAAAAAAAGTCAAAAAATATTTGTTAATGAGGCATGTTTTGCCTTTGAAACGTTTCACCATCCAAACACTAGGCAAGCATGAGTTGAAATGTTTATTTGTTCTTTCTTATAAAGTTTATTCTCTATCTTGATATTGTATCATTACCTCAAAATTTTCTGTCGTATCTTATAATCTTTCAAAACTTCACCTGGTTGTCTGAAAAGAAGCGAAATGGATTTAATCCATGGAACTCTGGTTTGATTTTAGAACCATACAGCCAGGACAATTGAACTATGACATTTAATTGGATTTTTAACTGTCCACTGATTCAGATGTTTAAGAAGTATATCACTTATTTCTTTTTATGGAAAACCTGCTAGTTGGATCGGCCGCCGATATATAAACAACAAAAAAAAAATAGTTTTTTTTTAAAAAACATTTTTTTAAGCTCAATTTATCTTCAGCCAATTGCTTTCCGGACCCACAATTAAAGTACAAGTCAATAAATGGACATCTATTATATTATGCTTTTATTTCAGATTGAGTTTCATTTTAAATATAACTACCTAATATCTTTCATCTCTCTAGGGTTAAGACATGGTTTCTAATCAAATGCCCATTTTCTATATGTTGAATGTTATTTTTTTTTTTAATATTTCTTTTATGAATTCATTATGTAGCCGATGTCACATAACGCTCTTTGGTTAATGGTTTATATCCAGTGGAATATGACTGGTCTTTAATATTCAACAGTTTCCCGATGTCGGCAACTGTTAGGCTTTTTTAAGTACATAGCAAGTTAATAATGTATTCCGTTGAAATATAGGAACCTTCTGGAAAAGTCGTTTTGTATCTCCAGGAAGACCACCACCTGATTGTGTTGTAATTAAATTTTTTGAAAAAAAAAATCTGTAAAAGAGTCGTGACAGAAAGCGTTCTCAATGCTAAATAAAATAAAAATATTTTGTTTAAAATTTGAAAACAAAAATCGTCATAACGGAAATGTTTACCACAATTACATTAATTTCCACCACAAAGACATAATATGGTTAAGTCGATAAGTTTTCTAAGCTCTTTGACATATTTATTTCGTTTAGCGTTGTCTTGCAGTGTGACGCAACGGAGGAAACAAATCGTTTTCCTGGCCACATCCTCGAAATTTTGTTGAACATGTGCCGTTCGTTTCCTTATTTCTCCGTAAGGAAGATGTATATCTGTGTTTTCCTTGTTATAGTACAATTTAAGGCAAAATTATTTTTGTACCACTAGTTACTTCCAATGTGATACAATTGTAGAGATTCATGGACGGAAAATATCGGAACTTGTCCGTTTGTCGAGCAAAAATCAATTTCTTCGGAATAAAAATTCCATCATTACTTATACCGGCGTCATATTTATGAAATTTATTTATTTGTATTTATTTATTTACTTGTTTATATAGTGACGGATTAAGACAATCAAACACTCAATGAGGGATATTTGTATATTTATTATTCATAATGCAATATAATACACAACCATTCAAATAACAATAAAAACAATAAGTCCTATGTATAAGATAAAAGGCATAATAAGGAGTCTAACACCTGCCTAGGACTGTATTCATTCATTCATTCATTCATTCATTCAATATTTGAATTATTTAATATATTTGCAAGCAAATAATACCGAAACAGTTTCAAATATTTAATTCTTGATGAAATGCTATTCTAATATTAATATTATTTCCTGAAGGTTATATGCTAAACACAAAATAAAATCTGTTTTCGAAATTAAACACACATGTGTCTACTTGCAACCATGTAAGACAGTCGGTATTACATTTAAATAGTTTCAAATGTTTGTCTCTTTATTCCAAAATATAGATAACAAGCAAATATCATAGTATTGCAAGCAATCCATAATTCCCATACCGGTTAGAACCCCAGCAACATTCTGATGGGCCATTGGCCATTCAATTTTACAAGTGAATGAATGACATGAATGAATTTAAATCTTTTGAGTTCTAAGTTTGTCTATATCATAGTATTGTGTAAAGTTTCCCTGCCTTGTAAGGAAATTATGTTTATACAACCTTGTCATGTTATTACGATGTGAGATTTTAAAGTAAATCCTATAAGGAATGAAGAAGTTGGAGTAAAAATTACCAATTTCTCTAAAAAATCTAAGTTCAAGGGGGGCATAATTCTGAAAATAGTCTTGCTAGAGTATTTAACCTTCTCAAAAATGTTGAGTGATAACAAGAAACATAAATATGAAGTTTGAGGAAGATACATTAGGAAATAAAGAAGTTATTTAAAAAACTTTTTTTATTTCATAAAAATTCTATGTTCAAGGGAGGTAATACTGTCACGGTCTAGGCTGTGTGGTAAAAACCTTTGGTAGTGTGGTCTCTCAGTAGGGGTTTATTTATGTAGTCTGTAAAGGGAGTTGGTTGTTTCCACACAGTTTACTTCTATAGTGATTGCTGTTCTATATCCACTTTGCTGATTTAAACCTTTTACTTATAATTTTAACGGAACACTATCTCTACATAGATAAATAAGTTCTCTGTAACATTTCAACACTTTTTATACCAGTAGTCAATTGCAAGTTTATTTTGACAAGTTACAATAACAAAATACTAAATTGTCAACAAATGAGCACAATTGTATTTTAATCATTCAGCAACATATTCTATACGATAATGTAAATAAGTAAAAGTTTGTAGTAGAAATCATCAGAGTTTCAAGTCTAATTTATGTTAAAACCGTTTTCTAAATTATATCTCCTTTAATGTAATGTATCTTAATGTCTAACGCGTGTACCTTCTTTAATAGTCAACACGAAAAAATAGCGTACCAGTGAACCGTGACTACATTCAACAAACAGTTAAATAATCTATTTCAAGCAGTAAAGTGTTCATAAAAAACGTGTAATAAAGATGAAATATCTAGAAAATAGCTCAGAACTGTTTACTCTGAATAAATAAATCGTTATTTATAAAGAATAGTTTAATTACTTTAGTACGTAAAGTTGCAGACGGCACTTATAATTTTTTCCGCTTAAATTTGTAACTCAACAAAACGGGGTTTTGCCTCTGAAGTTCTGGTCAAGCCTGAGCTGTTCATCCAAAAAACCGGGCCCTTTTATACCCAGACAAATCCCAACCAAAATAAAGTGATTGAAGTGGTTGGTTTACCAAAGTGGTGGAGCCAAAAAGTGGTTGGTCCGACCAAGAAATATTGGTTGATTTACCAAAACGGTTAGAAATTTAAACATAGACTCTTAGACCTATGAAATAATAAAAATGGACATAGAACATTTTGTTACAAATATTATGGCATTATCTCAAACAAGTTATACCTTTTCAATGAAGAAAATACACAAAAATCCGATCCCAGAATTTCGTCAATAAATTAGCTGTAGCCGGTCGTCCCTAGTAACGTACCGGAAACAGTTCAAAATGGCATCTTGAAACGAAAGTGGAAGCACGTTTTTCTAAGAAAACGGATCATAACTATAAAAATACATGGAATTTAAATTGTAACTTGGCAAAACAGTGACGTAAATAATTTATAAACAATAACAATAAGATTTATAATCACAGGTAACGAGTGAAAGTGACAATTCCCCTCAGAAGTTAGATTGAGCTGCACATCGTGAAAATGGAGGATAAACAAGGCAAACATGTTGGATAAAATAGGATAGATAAAATCTGGCTCATAACCCGTATACATGGGTTGGTGTTTTGATTTATAGTAAAAAACAGCTCATTATAAGTTTTATGGCTAGAAAATATCAACATATCCTCACTATTTAAGATAAGAAGAAAAGTAATTTCTCAATTTCAATATATCACGTTTCATAAAAATAATTTAAGTACTTTTTGAGATATCACTGGATCCAATTTATGTGTTAAATTTGCCATATTTTGAGACTATTTGTTGCCATAGCAAACTTAATCATAATCCTCACAATCAAAATACTTCTTCTCATCATCTGCATTATGAATGCAATCACAAATAGCTGACTGAATGAAAATGTACTTAAATTTATGTACTTTTAGGTAAAAAGTTTCTGAACGATTACTTTATCCAGAACATCTGGCATGATCAAATGCTGCAATCAGACAAATGTTCTGTTGAAATAAGAATAAAATAAATAAAATCTTACCCCACAATCTATGTTTAAAAATAATTCATAAAACCGGATAACGTTCGAAAGTTGGTTATAGTAAAATCAAAAAGAAAATCCTTATATCAACAGTAAATGGCCATTGTGTACACACAACAGCATTGGTATTGTGTTCAACTTTATAACTCCGTCGTCATAAAGGTCATATATCTCTTAAACACATGCATCACTCGCAGTCGCGGTTGACCTTGACAACTAACTAATATGCATGTATAAAATATGATAAACAGGATCAACAAGGAAAGGCGGCGTTCAATGAACGCAACCCCCATAATTATGATCCTTGAACATATAACGCATGTTTCCTTAAGTAAATTTGGTAGCATCTCGGATAGCTTTGTGACCAAATTAGTAATGTTCGTCCCTGAAACCTGAAGAAATATAACTTGTGTTTGGATCAAAACGTTACGCTATCAATAAAAGGTGAAAAAAGTATCTGCAGGAACCAGTGCTTGGGATTTCAAAATAAGTGGCTTCTGAATATGTTACAGTAAAATAAGATGCATAAGCAATATTCTGGCTTACAAATAAACGTCTGGTCTGGTTATTTGGCGAACGTGTATGAAAAATCTTAAACATTATCATAACTTTTATTATGATTAAAATAGAAATAGAAATGCTACTGACTATTTATTGAATTTATATTGGTCCAGAACTGAATTTTATATAATTATGTTAATTTATTTATAGCCTTTCCTACATTAAATTTAACAATTCGATATTTTCTGTTTAGAACTAACATAAATTATGCCTTCCCGTTTCACCATATATGCCAAAGCTGCATATCGATATTTTGACATTTAGGACTCGCTTTATGAACTTTCGTTGTACACGTTCTATTACATTTGCAGACAAAATCCCAATATTTCAGCACTATTACAAGAAGTAGAAGTAACATATGCGTCGAATTGGTTGAATTTTATTTTAACAGGCATTTCTATGTCTATTGTTTTTGATAATTGATAGTTAATGGATTGTATAGCTTTTAATGCAAGACCATCAGTGCCGCGTTTTGCCGAACCATTACTGCGAAGTACGTATTATATATTCCGTTCCGTGTTGTCTCTCACTCGCTCATCACCTTTTTTGAATACTTTAATTTGTGTTTTCGTTATATTAACAGTTAAAGTGTGAATATATTTTTTCCTATAAGTAAAACAAGAATTTACTTTTCTAAAATATTCATACGGACATGTGTCCAAATGTATAAACACTTCAAACTGTATATTTTGTGTTTTCGTGCATTCATATACCTTCACGCCTAGCGATTGTAAAATAATTGACAACTCAATGCAACAATGCGTATTATGTATACAACCATGTTTATTTTATTAGATTCTTCCCGATATGACACGAATTATTTTGATCTAGTTAATAATTATTTCTTAATTATCAAAAAATATTGTAACAAGGTGTATTTGTTCGGGTAATCTGTGTTTTGAGATGTTCTTCAGCTTTCCTATGTTTTTATCCATATTGTTTCTGTAAGAGTTGTTTCTCCTTGACTTTGGCGGGAATTTGTACATGTCACGTGAATTTCGTTTTCATTTCCTTCTGTGCGTTGGCTGGTAGTCATTTGAGAGGAAGGCCTCTCTGTTAACAAGTTTTATGATGGTTCTTACACTTTAACATTTTTTTTTCTATTTTTAGTTTAAACAGTTCATCATTCTATAAGGTAACTATTGCAATGGCTGAAGTAATTTATTAAAGCATTTTTTCTTATTTTTGTTATTTTGTCTAAGCAATGTACATGTATCATTACGAAGATAAAGATTGCTACCACATTTAACGTTTTTTTCTTATTATTCTATCTTTTACTTATCTCGACTAATGTGCATGTATATAATAATTGATGCATTGTTCTTCACAGCAGCACTCGGTGAGATTCATTTGTGTGGATGATGGCGTATATCTTTATTGTGTAAAAGGGCTAAAGATCCTACAAATTTGTAAGTTGATATTTTATTATCTATGAAAATATTTTTTATATATATTAGGTACTTTGATGAATTATTGAATTCTAAAAACTGTTGCATTGTTATAAATAAATGAAAGCACAGGGACCACTGTATCATTGAGTAATTGACTGCTATGATTAAGAACTATGAACTGAGCTATGAACTATGCTATTGATATAATTGGAGATGTATAAAGAGCTGTGGATTGAACCATGAGTTCGTTAGGGTATTTTGTCTCCTCCAGGTAAAATATATATTTATTATGAATGATATAAAAGAGAGATTACTCTTTATATGACTTATAAGAATCTCCATCATTTGGGGTAAAGGTTCTTACTATCTATTAGTTCAGTGCCTACTTTGCTTGCATGCTTACATGATTATGTGAATGTACAATGTAGAACTGTAGAATGATGGTTTACAGGATGTACCGGTATACGAACCTGAAGAGAAGACTCCTGGAGATATTAGACTATAGTTTAACATGAATGTCAGGAATATGTTTATCTCAGAAAAAATAAGCACACTAATGATTAAACGCTTTTTATGTTTCATTTTTATCTCCGTTTAAAATATGTTGTTTTTTTTTTACTTTCTAGATTCCCTTTTGTGTTGGAAAATAAAAGTATATAAAAAAGAAAACAATTTGACACATTTCATTTTTTAAAACAATATGTTTATTTCATGTTTGTTTTGTTATATTTAAAACCTCACTACTGCCTTGTGTTATTACATAAGCGAATTATACACTGATGTACAATTTCCGAGATTTTGTTTTCGTATCAAAGCAATTCAAATGTTTAAACCTTTAGATGGAAAGACACGTCAGGACACAACATTGATTTCGGAGAAAATAGTATAACAATATAATTCAAGTATGTTTGCTTAAATATAAGACCGTACTTCCGTTATAACTTACATCATCACACACGTGAACTGTGCTAATACAAAATAAATCTAACTAGCTCTACCTGATTGCATTTTTAATTGATAACCATTATTTAATGTTGTAACCTACCTTCAAACACTTTGACTTGGTTAGAAAAAAAAATATTATAAATTACAAAATCAATGACTTTCTATTACATCATTGGAAAAAATATCAAACACATAGTTATCATCGCAACTGTCTTTAACACTGTCTTTCTCATTAAAGTGAAAATAAAATTAATAATTAAAGTACAATTAATATAACTTATTCAATTATTGAATAAGGTAAATTGTTTCAAACTTGATCATTACCGGGTAACTAATTACTTTTACCTTTGCAATCGATGCATTCCCGATCGTGTTTCGGAGAAGAAAAAACACAACTAGTTTCTAAATTACTTTTTTATCGGACATCTTAAATCACTTTATATCGTTTTCTTCTCGTACTATCATAGTACAAAAACTATACAGAAATTTTGATCAGCATCATTATGTGAAATTATGCACGTAAAGCTATTAGGGATTGCTTAAGGTATGACCTCTTACTTAGTCAAAATTTGTAATTTCAACTAGTGTGGCTTGTAGATCAACAAGTTCTGAAGCTAGAAACAAGAAACTTTCGTCAATGTTGATCAGCATGTAAGTGTTGTGCACCTTGGGGTTTCCGTAAAGATTTATTCGGAATTTACAATTTTTACCTTGCGAGCTAGAGTCAAAAAGTTAATTAGAACATCTGTGTCCTATGGTTACATTTCTATTTTATTCTTATTCTGTTATTGTTTTATTCTTACATAATTATTTATTTTAATTCAAGTACAGACAGCTCTTATATGCAAAGAATTAAAATTCATTGTGTTTCACACTCAAGGTTACTTGTTCATTACTCCGCATGCACATACTCAATCAATCCGAGCCTGCAATTCCCATGAACATGTAATGTTCTTGTGATAAATGCTTCTGAGTGATTACACTTTGTCCAAATGTTTAGTTTCTACGAATCCTAACTTGTGCCAGTACTTGATTTATTAAGTTTGTACAGGAACTTGCTTTTTATTTCTTGGTTTAAGTTTGACGGAAACGAATAAAAACTACTACCGTTTTTTTTTTCATCAGCATGTGTATTCATAATTGAATCTTAAATATGTCTCAAATTTGTTCCAAAACTATTAAAATAGATTGAAATGTCAATGGGAATGTTTGAAATAATGTACTCTGAATTTTATTGAGATTGATATTTTGGTTGTCAAGATAAAATATATTAGGCTAATAATGTAAAATTATATACCTTCAATAGAGTTTTTAGTTCTCCCAATGAAACTTAATCATTTTACTCTGATGAAAGGTTACAACTTCTGATTATATTTTTATGATTATGTTTTTTTTTTCTTATTTGTGTGTATCCTAATGAATTTTGTTAGTTTTTACAATTTCATCTGTCGTCATTGCATATCTTTGAACCAATACCAAATTTATTAGCCTTGTATGTTTCCTTAGAAATTCTTTTTAATACGTTTTTCTCATTTTTAAATAGAGATCTAACGCAATTTTGTTGTATTTGTTGTTCCCTATCTTAAAGAAATGTACGAGTGTAATTGTGTGTGTTTTTCTAATATAAAACACAATTTAAATACAATAAAACTGAGAGAAATAGCAATATGTTTATTTATCACTGTCCTGGTGTGTCTGTAAGTTCGGGATAAATCGGCATAACAACTCGCGATTTATTTCTGTCAGTTGTAAGTAAAATTCTTTTCGGATAATCTGTTTTATCTTTGATAGGTTTTAATCCATGATGTGAAGCTATTATGTTCTGTAGGGGAGTCCTCTTTTTCCTTCTCATCTCAATAGCGTGAAAGAAATAGTCCATGTCTAAGGAGACAAGTCTATAAGCTGCACATCCGTCAATTGATCCTTTAAGTTCATTTACGAGTCGGCAAATCTATAGTGTGAATGTTATAATTGGGAGTAAAGTATTATAATTAATTCGAATTACAAAGCAATCAGAGACGTTTTTTTATGCAGTATATAAAAATGTTATATGCGATAAAACAATCATAATTTGATTGACAATAAAGCATATTTATAACTTACGTTAGAAGACATTGTGCATGCTACAAAATCGCACATTCTTAGTGTGTGTATGTCCGAAATAATGTCTTTCAGTGCTGATAATGAGTATTTGTCAGTAGTCGCCTTTTTGTGATAAACAAAAGTATAGTTTTGGTACCTGTTGATGATAAAATAATCAAATCAATAACATTAAACTAAGCGATTAATAGTAAAATGTTCTAAAAAATGTATTTTTTATTAAACACTTAAAATATTGGATATTGTTTATATTGATTACATTTAAAATATTGGATATTGTTTATATTGAGTATATTATCTTTCTAAGGTTTCATTTTGTTATGAAAAAAACCATCAACTATTGTAACGTTATTTAAGATGGGAATTTGTTTTAACAATAGGAAAATAATGAATATATACATTTAATAAAAATAATAAAAACATATGTTTTTTTACTTTAATGTTACTGAATAATACAAACGTGCGCATTGCTTCTTGTAAAACACTCGGACTATCAGTAGCAATAAAGATGTATCGTGTTTGCGTATTGTTGTGCAAGTGCTTTTTAAACCATTGATCTACAACATCCATGTATTCACTCAGATTGAAATATCTTGTATCCATTAACTTGTCTGTTCGTCTAATATGCAACCTTAAAATAAGATAGTGGTTTGAATGGTAGAGCAAATAATCGTCAAAATTTCAATGATAGTATTGTGCTGCAAGTGGCAAAACAATTACATTATCATTTCTCAATCAATTGCAAGAAATAAATGCCGAGATACAAATGAAATAACGATTAAGCAATACCTGATGACATCAAACGGTCGACAGATGGACAGGCAGTGTAACAAACATTATAATATTTTCGCTTGCTTTTTTTGTCATATCCTACCGATATGATTGTTTTCAAAGAAAACAATATCAGTATCATGTTATATATTTGAGTGTGACATTCCTTTGCATTTGCATTCATTAATTAAAACCTAGAAGCATGAATGTGTTACGGTTTAAACCAAATAAACAAACCCTATTAAAGGCCGTCTAAAAACTAGCTTGTTCTGTTGTTCGCGTAAATGCAACTTTAAATCGTTATTCGGTCTAATCAGATACTCCACAAACTGTCCGATCCACCATACTTCCGGGTTAATATGAACTGCTTCTAGTCTGTCAGCTAAGTCTGCTGGAATTGCGAAGGGCATGTAGTCCGGCATTTCGAAACCTGCCATTCCGGGTAAGGAAATTGCCTGTTTGTCAAATACATTCCTTAATGCTGTTAAAAGAAAAAAAAAACATTTTTTTTTATAAATGAAGCTAAGAAAATAACAAATGATTTGCATGACGACATATATTTTAAGTAAACACTGATTTAAAGAAAGTTTATTTCCTATATTTTAAACTAGCTACGTTGCTGGACGCAGAATTGTTATGAATACGAGGCGTCTATTAATGTCACTTTAATAATCTTAAATGTTTACCTTTAATGGTTTTGAATTCATATTTATTATCCATATGATATCATGATAGTTTTTAGCCTATACAAAAGTAAAAAAAAGACGAACTTGTCTGCTTATAGTATTCATTGTGTCTTTATGTCGAACATGTAAAAATTGAAACAGACTGGAATAGTTCGAACCTACACCGTGGGAAATCAACAGGTTTGAAGTCAAATATGTTAACGAACATGCCTAGATCATCCATTATCATAAATTAATACGATAATTAACGTTTCAACATTTTTAGCACCAAATTCTATCCCGATTTTGCAACAAGATGTTCCCTAAGATAATAATAAATAATACATAGAGGATATTTGTTTAGTTCAGTGTAAGATCGGAATATATTTCACCGAGTGAGTACCAAAAGGTATATTTCACGAGTGGCGCAGCCACGAGTGAAATATGAACTTTTGGTGTTCACGAGGTGAAATATATTTCGATCTTACATTAAACTAAACAAATTTTCTTTTTATTACATGCAAAGAAACGTTTAAAAAGACATTTTAAGTAAGTACTAAATGAAAAGGGCGCCAAATAATAATAACACGTGACGTCATTTACGACGTCACGTCATTAAGTTGGTTTCCAGTACTGTGAACGCTTGTATTTCACTGAAACAACGTACTGGGCTCAAATATTCAAGACAGTGAAATTATCAAATCGATAATTTCACTGTTTCAAACAGTGAAATTACCAGTTTTTAACTCACTGATATATTTCTATAAACCACCGAAAAGCATGTAATAAAAATGTATTGTTGTCTTTATTTCAAATGTTACGAGCAGCAATTATGCCACTTTAGGTAGTATTTAGGTTGGTTATGCATCACGGTATACGAATGCGAGGCGACCATTTTAGTTGTTATTTGTATTTAACATATAATTTCTGTTATAAGCATATAGTTACATTTATTTTAATTACGTCATCGTTCTTTGTTAATTATCCAATAAGTATACAGGGCTAATTTGTATACAAGATCTTGAATATTTGAATGGAGCACATTTGACGGGTTTGCTCAGTTGTTCAACTGTAGACGGGGATTACATAACCAACTTATGTTAAAATAGATATGATAGAAAACGTCTTTATCTTTAAACGACAGAACACACACTAAACTGAAAATTGACTTTTAAATAAATAAATGCGTATACCCGAATTTTCTTACTTCACGTCCAACCATCAACTGATGTTTACATGTTACGCGCGTTTTTCTTAAATGCACCTGCACGAACTAATGTTTTGATTAAATGAACACACAAATGTAACCTCAGTGCCTGACCATTATTGATTTATTTACCAGCCAAAACTGTCCGAATTCAGTTTTAACCGATATCTTCATTCTTATCATCCAATCACAGAGCGATAGTCTAACCAATGAGAAATTTGATGTTGTGTTTTAACAGAGAAATCGAAAGAGACTTTGGTGTTTATAAGTATGTTAGAAACAAATGTTAGTTATAAGAGTTTTGACACTCGAAGAGCACACATAACAAGCAACAGATGCAAGTGTAGTCTCGTAAACCAGAGATACGTGCACGTAAGTGAATTGAAAGACGAATTTATAGACGATGTATGGGAATGGCTGTGCGACACAAAATAAAACAACAACGATGGGTATCAGCTTAACGCTGTCGAGATGGAAAACACATGTAGACAAGATACATTTTTTTTAATGTTTGAGCTTTAGACAGCAATCAGTTTTATGGTAGTCACCATGTTGGAAATGTATATTGTAATATGGCCGCAAACGTCATTTGTGTCGACACGCGACAATACTGTAAGCCAAGCCAGAAAACGTTGTTTCGACCAAAAGGGAATATGTTTAAGACCAAAAGAGTATCCAGTTTTAATAAAAAAAAGACTCGTACCAGTGATCGGGAAAGTGCTTAAGGAATTAGATGTAGTAGTGTGCATTGTTACCAACAGAGCGCACTTATGAACAAGCTAGGAGTACTACCTTGGTGAGAATATTACCTTAACTATTGTGGAAACTGGTAAACTCACGTGACAGTAAATATCTATAGTTCTGTAAATAGAAGTCAATTAGAAACTGTATGTATGTAGATACATTACGAAGCTGTTGGGATAATCAAAATGAACGCCACTGACTGCAGATCCTTTAACCAAACCATAGAATATTACGTTAATTTGACCGGATAAACAATATTTGGCTAGTGCGGGACTGTGCTACAGCGAGAGTGTTACATATGTCAAATTGAGCGCCTGAGTATGATCAGACAATGCTTCAAATTAGTAGGTGTTCATCAACAGGAACCAACAACATTAGACGGATTTGGAGGTATTGGTTTGGGATCAACAATCAGGCCTTATTTTATATTATAAGTTTCAATGCACCTATAATATATCAAACTAATAAAAGAAATAAGTTATTGTGTGAATTCTGCTTTCATGCGTGGCGAAACACTGTCACTTTAAACGAGAAGCTAGAGAGGCCGTAGAACATATTCTCAGCATTTTGGAATGTTCTATAGAAGAAACCATAACACATGCCATGTACTCGACTGTATTCTAAAAATTATATTGTGTTCCCTCTTTTAAAAATGCGTATTTAAATCTGTTGTCAATAAACATGTCTTACTGGAAGCAAATATGACTTCTTTGTATTTTTACACTTCCACACCAGCAAGCTAATCTTGCGTAGAAAAAAAATAAAATCTAGTTTAGTCACAGGAAAATATAAAATTAGGAGGTATAAACTCCTAAAATTGCTTCAAAGTCAACAGGCTTAATTTCTGCCAGAAGGAATTTCCATCGACCAAGCGTCATTGTAGAAGGGTTCGATATATAATATGATGCATGTATATACTTAATGGATATACTTGGCAAAACATAACGACGGTTATAAAAACGTTTTAGTGACAATGGATACTTTATTCTATCTTTGTCTATTGTGAACCTATCAAAACCAAGAAAGGAGTTGATGTTGGTTATGCATTAGTTCGTATCTTACACGGTCCTAGAAAAGCAAGTGCGATGAGAACAAACCGAGATTTGAATTTAAGAAGGAAAGAGGTCAATAGGTATATTCAGTACCTGTAAATTCAGCATTTTAACGCTTTATGTACGGAGACAAAGGCGCACTTTGCGGAGATATTGATAAAGACGCATAAGCGTAACTGTTAAGATATATATAATGAGACAGAAACAAAAGTTTTGTTGATGTGCTCGAAAATTGTTAACTTTCATATAACTCGACTATTTATAGAAGTATTGGTGATAAACAAAATAGCAAGAAGGAGAATGCAGTCTTCAGCAGGACTTACTATGGACTAAAGGCAGGTCAACCAAATCAAATATAAGACGATATATGTTTAAAGTAGGTCGAACAGTACGTACGAATATTGTACGTGAACAACGTGTTTAATAGAGAGTACTCTCAGAAGTGGAATGGCGAATATTTAGAATAAAAAGCTGTTTTACCGACGGGGAAATTGATGGTACGTTTACGAACAAGAATTGCAGGGTACGTTGAAAAAATATTAAAGAAAAGGATCAAAAACAAATAAAAGAAGTGCTAGTACATTGGTTTCATTGACCTAAGAAATAGAACATTATTTGATTCCCTTATTATAATACATGCATGTTGGTACATAATGTTATGCCATAAATGAGACCGTGCGAAAATAATGAAGATTGGGAAATGTCTTCAGATGTCCCATAAAAATAAACAAATAACTAAATAACCAAATAAATAAATGAATAAATTAATAAATTAACAAACAGATAAATAAATAAATAAATGTTGTCTGTACATGATACAAACTATGTAAAAGATTGTTTGATGTGTTTACATATTATGTGCACGTATGTACTTATCATGTAAATAAATAAGCACTACTTTCTCCGACTACATGTGTCTTCAGCTTAATGTTTAAATGCTTTGATGTTAAACAAGATCTCGACAAAAAAATAATGTATAAACCGCCTGCGACAGTAAAGCCGTGATAATCACACGTATGGTTTTATATTTCACCAAACCTACTTGAATTAATAATATTGTTTTCCCAAAAGGTATTGTGAAAAAGTGTCAAATAATTGTCTGTGATCCAACATGCATGAGCATTTTGAAAAAAATGCAGGGACTGGAAAATAAACAACAACAAAAAACAAGCGTTTATTCAAAAATTGTGTTTTATTTTTGGTAGATAAATTATACTTGTTGGAAAAATATAATTTTATGATAATGATTTTTTTTTAACTAGATCGAAGTTATTGTGTCATATCCGGAGGAATTTATAACGTTAGTCGTATGCATAATACGTATTGATGCATGGAGGTGTCAATTCTCTTAAAATCCCTAGGCTTGAGAGAAAACATTATGCACGAAAACATACGTTTGAAGTGTTTGCCATTCCATTCATTATCTGTTTATATCAATATTGACAAATATGGGTATCGATAATTCTTATATAAAAGCACATTATTTAATTATTGCCTAAATATTTAACCTCCTGAGATATCTCTTAACATAATAACTCTGTGAGTGTAGAGACCCGCTTCGAATACATGAAAAGGCAATTTTTTATCACATTACCCGATATCTTCAAAATTTGAGATTTCTAACCACTATACTATTTGAATTTACGTATTTATATCAACATTCATTTTTTCTATATTGCAATACACATGTAATTATTGAAGAACTTACACAACCCATTATATCATAATGATACGACCGATTAATGTTTTCTTACATTAGCGAGAAGTAATTGAATTTAGAAGAATAGTCATACAATTTTAACAAAATAGCCAACGTATACATTCGGTTTACTATTTATTTACGCGATTTGTTTTACAGTAAGATATAACTGTATGTTGGTGACAGATTATTTATCTAATCTATTACTACTACTTGCACATGATACGGATAAAGGATAATCGGTAATCACGAGAATTAACACTCAAAATTCAACATTCTGTTTCTCTTAGCCAGAGTTGCTGTAACACAATTTGTTTATGGTTCTATTTCATAAATATGATGCTAAAATTAAGATTTATCAATTTTGTAAGTTCCAAAGAGCATTATTTATAAAGATTTAACCAAATTTAACATTTCATGGAAATAAAGGGAAGACATAAAAACTCATTTTCTATCAAGTCAAAGTCATTTTGTTTCTAAAGTCATTTCGAATGCATACATTTTAATGATTACATATACTATGTACACATATTTGCAGTATATATTTTACATATTCTTCGATGTTTGAAAATTATTTCATAGGCATAATAATGTACATATATATATATATATATATATATATATATATATATATATATATATATATATATATATATATATATATATATATATATATATATATATATATATATATGTAGCATCTACATTCATCAGACCAGCAGTCCAACACATTTCCAAGACAATAAGATAACATTACATTGATGACATGTCCCCTCAAGCCTTATGAAATTTAATAAAAGCTTTTTTTACATTTAAAATAAACTTTAATTTTCATTCTAAGCCGTAAAGAAACAATATGAGGTAAAAAACATGGTATTGGCAACCTTGTGGACCTTATTGGAGCTAGGTGGGGAGGAGTGTGGGATTCCAAAGATTATTGAATCACTTTTGAAGCATGTGGATGTTCCGAAAGTATGTGCTTTTGTGATACCATACACTATGCCAGTAATATGGCACCTCTTCTAAAAAAAAAAACAAAAACAAAAAAAAACAACAAATGAAGTAATTGAATACCAGTATGTTGAGTACGTTGAAAGCACTTCCATACTGAGTTGGGGATCTGGACATCACATTGCCTTCCGTTTTTTCCTAGCTTGACCTCCGCTCTTTGTACAGACCATCCTGTCTCATGGTCTACGAGTTCCTACATCTATGACCGATTTAATGTCACCTAGCAGGACTCCATAGAGTTGTTTGACAATCAAAGAAATTCAATGTTTTTACAATTCAATTGGGGAAATATCTGTTTTGTTACCATGTTTGTATTTCTAATAATCTTAATTTAAATCCTTTCAAGCTATCGACATCATGCAAAATATATCTCACTGGTTAGAAGTTAATTAAGGGCTTCTCCTCATACAGAAAAGGTCAAATTGAGAAGTTGTACAGTTACAATGTCTCATCAAAAATAGTCACATAATTAAATTTTTAACAATATTGACTTGAAACATAATACATCATTAATATATGCAGTAAATATTTATTAATATAAAAACTAGGGTGAGAAAAAAAGCAGCCTGACTAAGTGTCAATCCAGAGACCCACATAATACAGGTACCATACCTCAGCACTACCAAAAAAAAAAAACCAAACAAAAAAACACCCAGCAACATTTTCTCTACTTCTTATAAGCTATAGATTATATCATTTTGCACCAACTTTCACAGAGTAAGAAAAATGTGCCATTTGTCTGGAATCAAATTGGGATCCTCGGAATATTATACATGTATGCGGGTTGTACTGACTGAGCTATCTAGTTTGCATGTCATTAAACTATTGTATATATAATGCATGTGCATATAAATCAAAGAAATGTTCATTGATATTGACCCATAATTAGAAGTAAATCATATTAAAAAAATCCATCGAAAATTATATAATTTAAACATTGTTGACCCATACTTATCACCACTACCTTCCGATAATTTAACATATTTGTTTATAGATTCAATATTCAAACAAGTTTATTTGGTAAAATAAAAATGATGTTTCTAAAGCCCAATTTACACTGTCCTAAGCCTATTCACAAAATACTGAAAAAAGGTAAAAAAAGTGTGGGACAAAATAGAAAAAGATGTATGTTTCTAAAGCTGTCACAAGGTTTTGCTACTTGTAACAACCACAACCAAACAAAATCACGAAATGCCACAAATAAGACATCATAGTTTTGTGATCCTCAATTGGCAAAATGGCAGCTCACTTAAATGCAGTTAAATGGTAAAGTTCTATTGTTAATTTGAATTATATTTTTGTCTTATTGATTTGTGGAGTTGAGAAAACGTTTTTGTAACATTTTGATATCAAAGTTAATGCAATCTAATGACGCATACGCACTTAATTAGAGAAAGTACATAGATCACATTTAAAAGAATTTGTCCGCAATTTTGAAAAAAAAAACGGCCGATGTATACAAGCCGCTTTACATTTATGGCGTTTGTTGATTAAACAACATTCATTGAATTGTGAATATTAAAATATAGGATACATTATTAGACCTTTATTCTTAAGGCTTTATTTTAATTGCCCTCGTCACCTTACGAGACTTCAAGATATTTATCTTCTGCTGCTCTTTTTATAGACGTTAATATTTCTTATATAACAGAGCGTCAACTACTCATTAATGTTAATTAATTATCGATTGTTCAGTGAAATAGAAATGTCCGGACTTTTCCTTGTGAAACTGATATCTTTGATACCTCTGCACTGTTTGAGTGCTCTATGAATGACAAGTTTTAAATTTGTAGTACCCTTTCGGGCAAACATTTCAGGTATTGTGACCTAGTTGTCGAAGTAATTGACCATTTTTAACTTTAGCTTAAGATAAGTTCTCGCCTATTTATAAATTAAACAATGGTCAGGAAACAAACTTTAACACCCCTGACAAGTTTTAAACATTTGTTTTTATGAATTTAATACTTTTAGAACCTTGCACGTTTTTTTTTTTAAATGCTCTATGAAAGAAGCAAAATTTGTCGATTCAGCTCAATTTCACGCATACATTCGAAAGAAAATAAACACTGTCTGAATATTTTAATATATGCACCGAAATTATTGTTTTATGCTGCAGATTTATATAAATTTTCAAAGCGCTTTGTTAGTTAACAAAGTTACATGTATAAACCGTGGTAATATTACGCCCGTGTGATTATCACGCGACACGAGAACAAAATATTATTTTGCTCTTTTAATTAGTGTTTAATCCGTTTAGCAATGATTTAAAGCATGCGCCACTCACTTTAAGCTGGGACAGAAAAATGCATTAGTAGTGCCGGCTTTAAGGTAATTTATTGCCAATTTTATTTCATACAAACATTCTGGAAGTATTCTTTTATAAACTCCAATAAATATTTGTTTGAATCAGATATATAGCTTTATAAACATTAATATGTCAGTTGTTCCTTGGGAAGTTTAGGGATTTTGCATTCGATTGATATTTTTCATTCTGAAATAACAACATTTATTATCTCTTGGGGCGTTTTTACAAAATGTCATTTCAAACATAATAACCTGTAGATTTAATGATTTAGGACTAACACAGAGGATCCACTGACACATTTTCTCCGGTAGAAAAAATAGATACCTTTGATGGCATATACCAATTATTGAATTGTGAAATGATGCAACATATGATTAATATATATTATACGTATAGACATTGAAGCCGTATTCTGCAGATTTGGAATGACATATTCTAAAAAAAATGAGAGTGTAAGTCCTCACAGTGAATTGTTAAAAAATGTGTAAGATATTTTACAGTCCTCACAGTTGTTGTATAATATGTTTTCAGAAACTGTGCATAAATATGCAAATGTAGTCCTTAAAAAAAATATAAATATGATAGGCCCTCATTTAGTTTTCTCATTAATTTATAAACTAAATTTTTATTCCAGTAGGAATACATGTATATATATATATATATATAATATATATATTATTCCATTTTGATGCCATTCTTCTCCTCTACTGTTAAGTAGTGGTCCTCAAAAGCATTTCAAAAACCATAGTCCTCGCATCAGTACCTGTACAAACATGTGTGTGCGTGCTTTTGTGCGTTTTGGGGCGTTGTGTGGGTGTGTGTTTGTGTGCACGTGCTCAAATAAATAAATAAAAGTAACTAAGTATTTCGTATTATTTTAATCAGGTGTTTTTCCTACAGAGTAAACTGTGATTACTTTACATACGGTAAATTGGGAATACTTTTTGTAAGAAAAGTTGTAAATATACACACTGGAAAGTTCTCATTGGTTAGATTATCACAACCTGATTGGATGGCAAAATTAAAAAAACAAAATATGTTGAAACTGTTTTGTCCGGTGGCTGATAGCTATAGAAATATTTATATTTGTTTATAATAGTAGCTAGCCATTAATCAATAAATATCAGGCACTGGGGTGACCTTTATTTGATCATTTATTCAAAATATTAGTTCTAGCTGGCGCATTTACAAAAAATTGAGCGTAGCATGTATTCATCATTGGAGGAAAAGACGTGAAAAATGAAACGTCGGGTAAGCGCTTTTATTTATTTAAAAACTACATTTCCGACTACGTATTCTATTTTTCCATGGTTAGTCTATGATGTGTTTATTTTTAAGCTGGTTAAATGGGCGAGGTTCAAACTCTAGATCGTGTTAAGAGGTCAGCTCTGTATACTTATGTAATATTAAACAAAGAACGATAAGGTCATAAAAATAATCGTAAGTATATGCTTTTAACAAAGATTGATTACATGTTAATGAAAAAATTATAGGTAGCAACTATAAAGACCGCCGCGTGTTCGTAGTGCGTGATGCCAAACCGACCAAAATACCACTACTGTTAATCAGTTGTATACGTACTTTTAGTTTTTGTTACTGTATTGTTCAATACAGATGTGCAATTACTGCTGACTGGAAGGAATGCAGTTTCCCAACCCTTTCTTGCATAAATCCACCCTTTTGACCTGATTATGAGTGTTCTTTCAGTAGCATATGCCGCAATCAAACAAAATGTCAGCTGGTGTATTGTACTTCCAAAACCGGCTTGGAGCAGAAACAAATTAATAGCCAAATAAAAAAACTGTATGCAACAATACAAGGCTTTATATATATGACATAATACTTTAGAAAATACCATTAAAGGGGTTCAAGTTAAATTAAGTTGTACTGCGCAAAACAAAAATAGCCAAATTAATTAAATTACCTTAATTAAAACATTTAATATTCTGTTTTGAATTCTAAATAATGAGTTACCGAAAATTGACTGATTTATTTGGCTATTAAGTTCAAGTTAAATTAAGTTGTACTGCGTAAAACAAAAAATAATAACACATTTATAACCCTTATTTTACCGAAAATTTTATAACTATCAAATAGGTCATTCATGGTTTATATTAAATGTTTAAATTAGGGAGCTGTAGATTACACTGTAATATGTGTGTTATTCAATTTTTGTTTTCATTTTTAAAAATACTCCATATTTTTAGCAACAAAAGGCCGCTGTTGTATATATCTGCTGGATTAAAAATTTCGATACATTTTAAATAATGTTATAGCGGCTAAGCCTAATAAGAGCTTGCTGTGTTATCAAATAATATTACGAATTCCTTCTTTGGAAATTTAATTAATTTAATAATTAATTACCCTTTAATGGTATTTTCTAAAGTATTATGTCATATATATAAAGCCTTGTATTGTTGCATACAGTTTTTTTATTTGGCTATTAAGTTCAAGTTAAATTAAGTTGTACTGCGTAAAACAAAAAATAATAACACATTTCAAATATTTATTGACATTTGCTGGCGTTTGTTGTTCTCAGCCGGTTCTTAATCATCGGGGCAAATAAATATTATAAAATGTTTATAACGTCCATTGACGTTATTTGCGTGCGAATGTGAATGTAACGTAACGAAATCTTACGTCATCAATTGGTATTTATTTTATGTTGAAACGCATCAATACGAAACTACTGTTTTGAAAACTTAGCTAATACATCACTTTTATAGAATTTATCAATAACGAAAATGCTGAAAATATAGTTACATCAAACATTTAAATTTGAACTTTTAGGAATTTGTCTTCTAGATGAATGTTTTTTATTAGCTTGTTTATGAGCTGTTATCCGGTCTCTCAGTTTAATATGTATCCTCTTATCTTAATACAGACAAACGTTTTATTGTACAATCAATGTCTTCTTTAGTATGGAATATTCTGTTTTGAATTCTAAATAATGAGTTACCGAAAATTTTATAACTATCAAATAGGTCATTCATGGTTTATATTAAATGTTTAAATTAGGGAGCTGTAGATTACACTGTAATATGTGTGTTATTCAATTTTTGTTTTCATTTTTAAAAATACTCCATATTTTTAGCAACAAAAGGCCGCTGTTGTATATATCTGCTGGATTAAAAATTTCGATACATTTTAAATAATGTTATAGCGGCTAAGCCTAATAAGAGCTTGCTGTGTTATCAAATAATATTACGAATTCCTTCTTTGGAAAATTAAAATTACTGTTAAGACTTGTAAACAGTTTCGATTTGTATTATTTTGAAAAAAAAAAAAAGAAATACTGCTGGATGCCCATTGAGTTTTTTCTTTATTAAAATATCATTACAAAACCAGAACGCAACATTTGTCTACTTCGTTTATTAATGAATATATTGTAACAAGATAATCTTTGGACTAATAACGAAAAATAGTTATCTGATTTAAAATGATACTTATAACGTCTCCTTGTTTTCATTTTCTTTGATTATGTTTGAACAGTATGAATTTGTACAAGATATTTACGCGTCTAGTTTATGATTACGCCATGCTGTTACTTTTCGGTGAGTATGGGGGGAATATTGTTGATAAAGGTTTTTGCTGGACATTAAATTGCCTTTGCCTAAAATAAAATGTGAGTTAGAAATTTTAGATTGTATTTTTATGTAGTTTTATGTTTTCTTGTTGCTTTGTCTAGAAATATTTTTTTAAGAACATTTAAAATTTTTAACCAATTATATGATCTTGATAACAGCGTATTATTGTATCTTTTGTTGCGGCGATATAATCATGTTTTCTGCGTTTCAGTTTTCATAGTCTTGTAGAAATTATCCTAAACAAATGTGATTATGTCTCATTAATTTTTTCTCATTTGTTATGGGAAGTATCTTCATTTCTTTTCACTGTCTTTCCGAAAATAAAAAAAAATATTCTGCAACCTGACCTGTGGAATAAATTACAACAGAAACTTCCGTTCTGAATGCACGCTTTACAGTTTCGTGTTTGTGTTATGAAATTATAAATTACATCCTTACCATCATTTTTGTCTTGATCTTCACTTTCAGCTTTATATTCATATTTTTGAAATTATTGGAACGATGATAGGATCTGCATTATTTAATATTTGTAATGTTTCAAAGTTCCGATTTCTCTAGCATATACCTAAGATGTATCTGTTCTATGTCTTGTTTACATAAAATAGCGAAATATTTATGATTGAAGGAATTAAATACAGTTTTCTGCTGGTAAAAAAATCCCATTTTATTGTAATTAGCTTCATTCATAACAAGACCATGCACACAAACTTAATTGTTATAAATTGGAGATAGTTGGCTTACCTTTATTGGGTTCACAAATTATCTTTTTCGCTGCTTTACAGTTCTTCGGATTCTAAAATCGACATCAGTTGACTAATTAATAATTGATTAATTATTTGCTTCCGTAGACACATACTATTGCACCGTGAATGTTAATCCTATGACATTGATATCTGATTCTAGTCAAATGTTTATTTCACAAGCTAATTCCAATTTTAAGTTGTATAATGTATACATGATATTTAAATATGTCAACCAGCAAGCGAGAACAACACAGTATAGAAATTTAAAGGAGAACAATCATTCAACGAAATAAGCTTACCTGGATGTAAAACAATCTGCGTTGTACAAGGTCTCTCAACTTTTTAAGTTCAATAATATCCCTTGTAGTATCATATTTGTTTCCTTTTTTCTGATTATGACACAAACTATGCTGGTTTTCTTTGGATTGCAACAGCAGCCTTTAACAGTTAAAAATAGCATGCATGTTTTATATAATCTTTAATTGAATACCGAATATATATTGAAACATTATAGAAGCCAAAGTGGTTCATTTGATTTAATTAAACACGGCAAATTAGCATGCAGACTACAGATGCAATAACCTTAAATGTAAATTTGAGTGTACCTAACATATCAATGTATTTTTCTTAACATGTGAAAATGCTATTTTTTGTTCTATATTAAATACAAAATATTACGAAATTCATGTCGAGTTCCGATAATTAAACGATAAAATTACAGCTAATCACGATTTTATAATTTGTATGATTCGTAAGTGTTTACCTTGCGATACTATTGTTGAGCCGAGCTGTATCGAGCTGTAAGCTTGTTATATTCAAATATGTAAGACACATCACAATAATTGAAAAACATGTCATAAGAACAACACATTTAAGTCTGAAAAAAGAAACAAATATAAAAAACAGCATTTTAACCAAAATAAGAAAAAAGTCTAAAACATAACTATGATATAATACATTGAATAAAATAAACACTGACGAATGATCAACTTCAACATAAAAGTGTTTTCTGTACAAAGACTTTCAATTATTAAAGTAGTTGCTTCATATTCTAATATTAAAAAAATAAACAAATACAAAAAATCCTAACGTGCCATACACATAAAACATACAATATACAACAATGACACAACATACTTCGTGTTATTCATTTTCCTAATAGCATGAATCTTTACTATCAGTTTAGAAAATTTGATTAAGCAGTTTGCATCTTTGTTACTTATTCTACATTTCAAAGTAGTACATGCGATTACACACTTAAATGAACATCGCTTCTATTTTCTTTTCTTTTATAATGTTTTTACCATTTTTGCAAATGTCACAATACATTCGGGTTTTCAATTGTAATTTTAAAAACAGTTATGTTTTATCTATCTTAAGAGTCTTTGCAACCACTCAAAACTCAGATGTTCTACTAAGTTGCAGAGACACAAAACGTTATTGTTTTAAATAATTTAAGGTAGATCGCTTCTTTCCGACCGAAATTTGACAACATCTCAGATCTTAATGATTTTTGGTATACAAACATGTAGATATGTAAACTTTACTTCTACAGCATTATTTTTAAAATTAATAGCGGTACTATGACGTCAAATCGCCTTCTGTCAGTGGCGGCGAAATTGCGTCTTTTTTTCAGTAAACCGGTCTGTTCTTATCAATTTTCATCCGATTTCCTTCGTTTTATTTCGTATTGTTCAGAAAATGATTGTCTTTGTAAGGATGTCTATCTTTAACATTTGCTTAATACTCTGCCTTTCTACGTTATTTTTCCCCACGATTTGACGTCCATATATGATGCAAATATCGCGCGATATCGCAATAATTATTTGTGAAATAACAACAATTCAGCGCGTTGAATTTTACTATAATTTCTTTAACATGTACTGCAATCGTGAAGGAAAATAATTATGCAATAACAATATAGGGTCAACGCGTAAGATATTTTGCTATTACTGTTTTAAAATAAAATAAAAGGTGAGTGAAACGTAATGATTTTGGTGACGTTAATAAACGATGGAGTTCAAAGGATGATACAAAAAACAATTTTCTTTCGTCAAACATTACGAAAGTAAGTATAAACAACACAGAGACTTGATCAAATACATTTTTTTAAATTGTTGATTATTTTCTCATTGAAATGCATGTTCTACATGAGCACAGTTACAGTATATAATCTGACCATGTCATTTTAAATACCTTTCTAATTTGCTGGACGCAGTCTCATACATCTTTAAATTTTATAAATGAAAGAGTGAAAAGTGTTATATTATTATTAGACTTAACTAGTTTCAGCGCAAAAAATAAGAATTGCATATTGCTGTATGAATGAAGTAAGAACATTTAGTCTCTTAGCTTTTACCCGTTAGAATATTAATTTTACGTTACTTCAGCTTTTAAACACTTTAATAAAATCACATACAGACAGACGAGCCTCGCTGTCTAAAATAGATATGTTAAAGATATTTAAAAGTAAACTGTAGACGAAACAAAGACATTTATTTTGGTTACCATTTTTAAGTCTGTGCAATACATATATTATATAATAATTATTATAATCTAACTAAAATGTCATGATAATTAGAAAATGAACACGTATGTGACATAACTTTAAACATTTTTGGAAGCAAAAATCATGCGGAATAAAAAAATATTTGCATATTCGCAAATGCAGTCTAGAAATCTAAATACAAAATATAACCATAACTTAACTTGGATTTATGTATGCATACTTACCGCTTTTCCATTACAGTATAACAGAGGAGCCATCAAAATATTATTTCTTTCTAAAGAGTTCCACTCAGTTAACCCTTAACATCTCTTACAAAGGGTATTGCTTTGCAGAGGTTATACTGTATAATACAAAATATCATTATTAAATATTATGCACAACTTATGTAACCACTGAATACGAATAATGTATTATGTTGCCGCTATCGTGTTCTTTTTTAAACAATACAGTTTGCTCTGAAATAAACAAACACAAAAAAAAACACCAAAAAAAGCAAAACAAAAAAAAAAACCCACAAACCACACAAAAAAACACGTGTTTATGATATTACCGATAAAGTGGACCTCTCCCTTATTAAGGGAAATCAGAATAAGGTTTGTAACTTTGAAAATTCTTCTGTTGCCACGGTGTTAGCGGTAAAGTGGTCTTACGCTGAATTCGCAAGGCATGGATTCGAGACACGATTGCGTATTGTACTAATATATTATCCTTTGGAATTGTTTACTGTGTATGAAATGTTTCAAGGTCCACCTCAGGCTCTTGTCCTTTATTTCGGTAGAGAAGTTTATACAGTAAGTACAGGATCTGAGAAACACTGGTCTCGTTAAATTCCCTCTGCTATAACTGAAATACTATTGAAAGCGGCGCTAAACCCAATATTTAAAAAAAAATATATAAAACATTAAATGCATATTTCATTATTTTCATAGGCTCTATAGCACTGCATTATGTGCAGACAAAAAAAAACACGAGCTTTTCCCACAACCATATTCACATAAATTGAGAATCCTAGATGATCGTCACCAATAAAAGAGAATCTGTATTTCATATGCAAAATTATCCGCTTATGAACAACGAATCTTTTGGCGCGAATCGAGAAAAAATCGCGGCTTCAGGTCGCCTCAAAGGTGCGCTAGTAAACGCATACCGCGAGTTTTCGAGTTTAAAAAAAAATGAAAAAATCTATAATTATGTGAAATGCGTGAGAAATTGAAGCCATAGCATGAGATCGTGATTCTTACTTTAAATCTGAGTGAAGGAATATAATTTATTGATATTTAGCTACGGGGGAAAATAGAATAACTGATGGCTGTTAATGAATAAATTTTAATACGCGTAGAAAAGTTTTAAATTAAATGTCTGCTATATTAATATAATTAGTACTATCCATTGAATCATGACTTACAGTAGGGTGAACGTTTCAGTTGTCAAAAATAGCGTTTTATGTGCGTGCGTTTTTCGTATATCGTGCGTGCGTATATCGTGCAACGTGCGTTTGTTGAAACGCTTTCTCAAGCGTGCATCGTTTACTAGCGTTAAACGTTTAACGTTGTTCGTGTATCGTTTTTTGTTTATCGTGCGTCTGAAAGCGTGCGTTTGTTATTCCCAGAAACGTTTTGCGTGCGTCTGCGTTCGTCTAAGCGTTAAAGTACCGTGTTTTGTGTCTGTTACTATTAAGAAGTAAAAGAATATGTTAGATAGATAAATTATAATGCGTTCCAGAATAAAAAAGGAAATTCCAGATGTCCTTTTTCCGGGGGTCGACCTCAAGGCGCTTTTTCAGCAACAATTTTACATGCACAGAGAGCTGACATAGGAGAACAATTCCCCTATCTTTTAAACCTCAGACGAAACGCATTGTACCTGTTCGTTCTGCGGATATATGATATACAACTATCATTTTAAATGGGTTTATTTTCTAAGTGGTTGTTCGGAGACTTACATCTTACTTTTAAATGGGTTAATGTAACAGTAATTTACGCAGATTACAAAAAAACCTTTTAATTGTAGGCGTATGATAAAACAGAAATAGGTGAACAAGCGGATGAACAAAAGCAACACATCAAAGTGTTAGAATTAAAAAAATTACTGATATCAAAGAAACTTTGAAGGTAAAATGTGTGCAAAAGTGCTGGAATTTCATCATTGAGATATTTAAGCTACATGATTTTAACATGACATATGTTCAATTGAAATGTTCAGCTGTCACTTATATTCTATAGAGTGTGAGGCGAGTTATTTTCTATGTCAATATTCGCAGTTAATTGGAGATATCCTTAATTGTAATCAGTATTTAAAATTCTTTTTAGACAGAGTAATTCTTTCTTTTTTCATTAAAAACTGGTGATTACTTGTGTGCAAAATATAATAAAAAAAATGCTTGATTTCAGGAAATGAAAGATGAACTGACACAGTAATTTGACAATTTTTATCAATGTTTTAATTAAATTAACTCATTGTTCCTCATTTTCCTCATTGTCACATCAAAGCATATTCAAATATGTTTTCATCTTATGTTAATCTTACAATACACAATGTCATGTCAAAATCTTTAAAAAAAAAAACAATTTTACTATAATGCATGTAAATTTGAATTATACAAGAGAATATTATCCTATATTTTTCAATAAACAAAAAAATCAAAGAATATGCAAACTTTTCATAAAGTAAAACTGAAACATTTTATTGACCTTGATTTAAAGACTCCCTGTCATATGTGACCTTTTTAGCTCGACTATTCGAAGAATATGGAGAGCTATAGCAGTTGCGTCGGCATCCACGTCCGCATTGGCATTGGTTAAAATTTTTTTGTGAAAGATTCAATATTCATAAATAATTGACCACGAGAGATAATTCAAAAATATAACACTTATCAATACTTATTTATAGTAACATGTACAGGTCAGATTGCAGTTGGAA